TAATGCCACTGTACAATGTAACACCCACATTTCACTATTTATGTTATGAGTCGCATGTAATAGGGGGTGAGCGTATTGACATGCACCAGCCAGAATTCCGATTTTTTATTAAAACACCCAATAATACTTTGCCCGTCCCGGAAATCGAACTCGATACCCTTTGCACAGCAGTCGCACTTGCGACTACTCGGCCTATTGCCATATACCGGGCACAATTCCAGACTCCGTGCTACTACTGACATTTTTATTAAAACCCCAGTAATACTTTGCACTACCCGGAAATCGAACCCTCTTGCCCGGCCAATCGCACTTGCGACCGGCGATTGAAAAATCAGCCCTTAATATACATTTACATATGTATGATAGATAGACAGACAAATTTAATTCAAACACTGAAACAATTGAAGGCCGACTTCCTTCGCCCCACTCGGAATGAAGGTCAAGATTAGTCGTTAGACATCGTTAGGTCCAAGGGTCGAATCAAGGCCAAGCAATTGTAGTTCACGGTCTAAAGAAATGATTACTAACATGAATATTTAACATTAAGAAATCATATAATTTTACTGTTTGAGATACGAGATTGAGTGGCAGTTCGAGGTCTGTGTGAGGAGTTTTTTTTTGTAATTCCATGTTTTTCATGGCTTCAAGAAGGTCATCTCATTTTGTTTTAACCCGTAAGTATGTAATTAGACATGTATGTATAAAATGTAGATGTGGCCCGGAGGTTTAAGACGCCTGCTTCTCATGAATGAGGGTACCGTTCGAAACCTAATAACGTTGATAAATCATGCAGTCGTTACAACTAGTCATTGTGTGTTTCAGATATAAAAATAGAAATAATCTGTATTTATCTATATCTCGAAACCTACCAACGGCAAGTACCAATGTGACTTCTTCCGAGTTATATGTACTTTCTAAGATTATCTAGACACCACTGACAAACGGTGAAGGAAAACATCGTGAGGAAACCTGGGTGAGAAGGGCTGTGAAATTTGGAACAGAGGTAGATCATGGTCTGTAGGCTACTTTAATGCCTGGGAACGCGGGCGAACCCGCTAGCAAAAGCTAGTTATTTATATTTTCTTTGTTTCAGGTGATCTGCATACTCTTCGTAGCTCTTGGAATATGGATTCTATCATCACCAAATACTTTGCATAAGGTTATCGAAGCTACTGGGAACTCTACGATCAAGGTAAGTTAATATAGTAACAAGCTTATCTGTATATATAAAAATGAGTCCCTTTTTCCCTTGGTCACGCCATAACTTGAGAATGGCTAGACCGATTTGGCTGATTTTTTTTGTTGAGTCGTTATTGTCAGGAGAAGGTACTTATGGTAGAAAAAAAGTCCAGAAAATCTTACGGGAACTGGAGAAAACGGGATTGCGCGTACGAATATACGACGCACCGACTTCTAACCTATCAGTGGGTGGGTAACCTATCAGTACTAATAATAGTTATTTTTTGCTTTTTGGTTTTGACTTTTTGTTTGTTATTAGTTTTTGGTTTTTGAAGTCGGTTTTTTAAACGCAGTTTTTATTTTATTATTTTACCATTTTCAGTGTAAAGCTACATATACCCGTTTTGTTACTTATAATATACATAGGTGCAAAGTTCTAATCAATACAAATTGTACAAGCAAACACAAGGTAGTTACAGTATATCGTTGAGGAGTTCCCTTAACAATTACACTTCTTCATCATCAGACCCTTAATGACAGCCCCACTCTATTTAGGTGTAAAGTCCTCATTAATACAAATTAATCAAGCCCAAACTCAAGGTAGTTACTGTATACCGTTGAGGAGTTCCCTTAACAATTACACTTCTTCATCATCAGACCCTTAATGACAGCCCACTCTATATAAGTGTAAAGTCCTCATCAATACAAATTAATCAAGCCCAAACTCAAGGCAGTTACTGTATACCGTTGAAGAGTTCCCTTAACAATTACACTTCTTCATCATCAGACCCTTAATGACAGCCCCACTCTATCTAGGTGTAAAGTCCTCATCAATACAAATTAATCAAGCCCAAACACAAGGTAGTTAATATAAACCGCTGAGGAGTTCCCTCGACTGTCTGTCGACTCCATCATCAGATCGACTCCAGACCCTTATGTAATTGTAGTGTTTAAAATTTGTAATTGGAAAACATAATAGACGCATTACTCCCCCATAGAATTTTCGAAAGTTCCCCTCGGTTTCCCTAGGATCCCATTATCAGATCCTGACTTCATGAAAATGGGACCATCTCGGGAGTATACCCTTTCAAACAAAACAAAAATTTTTGAAATCGGTCCACAAACGGCGGAGTACTGCGCAACAAACAAAAAAAAAAAAAAAACAATCAGCCGAACATAGTACCTCCTCCTTTTTTTGAAGTCGGTAAAAATAATTATTCAGATTATGGAGATTAGCGCGTTCAAACAAACAAACAAACAAACTCTTTAGCTTTATAATATTAGTATAGAAGTATAGATAATGATCATTAAATATAATATACAAGTAAATCAGTTTACTTTATAAATAGCATGACAAAGTTCCGTGATGGGGCGGCCATGACAGGCGATGTATAATCTGAATAATGTAGCATTGCTACTGCCGATCGTAACTGGGTCATATTTTATACTATGTTATTATCATAGTGCAGTCGATCACAAGGACTGCGGTTCGATCGCTAGGTAAGGTTAGTACTTATAGGCAAACATGACATACTATTTTAGACCAGGGTAGATAGCGTCATTAACGGCAACATCCTTAAATAGTAAAAGTACTAGCTTTTACCCGCGGCTTCGCACGTGTCACAAATGTATAAAAAGTAGCCTATGTGATATATAAACACAGCACCATCTATACCAATACTTTTGTTTTTCCTCGGGAATATCATTTTTTTCCGGGTTAAAAAGTACCCTATTATTTAATCAGGACTTCTAACTTTACGTCTGCAAAAATTCAAAGCAATCGGTTGAGTACTTACGGCGTGAAGGTGGAACAAACAAACAAACTCACTTTCAGATTTATAATATTAATAAAGATAAACTACCGCTCCTCTTCCCGTGGGTGTCGTATACCCGACTAAGGGACAATACATTTGACAAGACTTTTATTGGCAGGTACCTGATGTACTAGGAGTACCATAGGCTACTTTTATTTTGGAAAATTAAAACAAAAACTCTATGTCTGCCTCGTTGGCCGAGTGATCGTAAGTGCGACTGCCGGGCAAGGGGTCTCGGGTTCGAGTATTACTGGGTTTTTAAACATCTCAGTAGTAGCACGGAGTCTGGAAATGTGCCCGGTATATGGCAATAGGCTCACTCCCTATTACATGGGACTCATAACATAAATAGTGAAAAGTGAGTGTTACATTGTACAGTGGCATTAAGTGCCGAAATGTGCGCCTCTGCCTACCACTTCGAGGATTAAAGGGCGTGATGTTATGTTATGTTATGAAGCAAAAAAATATTCTAAAATTCATATTGTACGCGGACGTTAGCGGGCGACAGCTACTTATCCTTACTAATATTATAAATCGGAAAGTGAGTTTGTTTGTTTGTTTGTTCCGACTTCACGCCGTAACTACTAAACCGATTGCATTGAATTTTTGCAGAGGTAAAGTTAGAAGTCTGGATTAAATAATAGGGTACTTATTATCCTGGAAAAAATTGATATTCCTGAGGAAAAACAAAAGAATTGGTACAGATGGCGCTGTGTCTATTGGTATATATGTCACATAGGCTTCTTTTTATCCTTTTGTGACGCGAGCGAAGCCGCGGGTAAAAGCTAGTATATCTATACATATTACATCAACTCCCATGGCACAGTTAGCACGGCCTGTCGGTGACCGGGTCGTGACACGCTGTGCCTTGCACTATAGAACGAACGATATTGTAAATATGAAACCGACGTAGGTTCCACAGCACATCAATCTACATCAATCGGTTAATATTTTCCATGGGATTACCGACTTTGTATCGAAACGATAAAGCTGAAATTTGAATAAATATATTGACAGTCGGTGTGGATACTTAATTCATGATTGTAGGTCGTAAGGAGATCATAGTTATTTAATGTAAAGTCTAATTTCGTAACAAAATGTAACCTTACATAACATAGGCTTTTTTTAAGGGGGGAAAATCATCGAATGAATTTTCCCGCCTGGGCGAGGCGAGAGGGAGTGTCAGACTCTTACTGACTAAAAACCACCCCGTTCCTACTCCTGCACTTCGAGCCGGAGCGCCGGTACTCCTAAAAAAAAAAACCGTTAAGTCCTCCGCGGCTCCGTATCGGCATCAGCCCTATTGGGCCCCATCCGTGGTGGTCTGATGGCTCATTAAGGCTGTCTAAGTAAGGAGTCTGGAATTATACCCGGTATATGGCAATAGACTCACCCCCTATTACATGGGACTTATAACATAAATAGTGAAAAGTGGGTGTTACATTGTACAGTGGCATAAAGTGCACCTTGGTCCACCGCTTCGGGGATAAAAGGCATGATTTTATGTTATGTTTGTCTGTATGTTTGTTACTCAATCAGTTTAAAACGGCTGAATAGATCGGGATGAAATTTGGAACAGGGGGTAGATGGTCTAGAATAACATTATAGGCTATATTTTATACCACGGGAACGCGAGCAGAAGCTATTATAACATAGGGGTAGCCAGAGGTGCACATTATACCACTGTACAATGTAACACCCACTTCTCACTATGTTATGGAGTCCCATGTAATAGGGGGTGAGCCTATTGCTATATACCGGGCACAATTCCAGACTCCGTGCTACTACTGAGATTTTTTTAAAATCCCAGTAATACTTTGCCCGACCCGGGAATCGAACCCGAGACCTCTTGCCCGGCAGTGGCACTTGCGACCACTCGGCCAACGAGGCAGTAATGGATGATTAATTTTAGTCTATACTCTACAGGCTCTAACACAGGACATCCTAACCCTTCCAGTGGGTATAGCCATCACATCAGTGGCCATATTTCTATTCTTCATCAGTTTCATGGGACTCCGCGGCGCCATGACAAGGTCACCCTTCTTATTGTTCATGGTAAGTTCAATTCAAACCTTTCATTATGGTATAAGTCGGTAAACGAGCAGACGGTAAGCAATCGGCGTCGCCCATGGCCACCTGGAACACCAGAGGCGTTACAAGTGTGTTAGCGGCCTTTTGGGGATTGGAAATTTGAGGATTGTGGAGGATTCAGGGATTCGGGAGAATAGGGAGGGGGTAATTGGGCCTCCGGTAACCTCACTCACACGACGAAACATAACGCAAGCGTTGTTTCACGTCGGTTTTCTGTGAGGCCGTGGTATCACTCCGGTCGAGCCGGACCATTCGTGCCGAAGCATGGCTCTCCCACACTTGTTTTTACATGATAGGACGGTAAAATAGCAGACAGATCACCTGTGGGCTTACTCTTGAATCCAATTCCGATCGATCGACATTGGTATTGTGAAACGTACTCTTGAGTTGCGACACTAGCGCCCATTGCATCCGTATTGCGTGGATATTGAATGAACTAAATGGTATTGAGTTTGTCTTTATATTCCGTACTCTGAATGCTATTGTAACAGCTACGATAGTGGTTGTATTGTGTTGACATTGAATCATTATTGAGATTTTATTGAATTGACATTGAGATCGATTACAAGATTAAGGACGCGATGTCGCCGCGACCGCGCACGCTGCTCATGATAAGAACCCCTCTGTGGTTCGAAACTAGTAGAGCTTTCCTCAGTATATTCACGTGAGTAACCCGCGATTTTACTTAATTTAGTATGTCTCACGATAGTTATTATAAAAACACCCTGATGGTAAGCGATTGGCGTCGTACCATTTTAACTAATTAATATACTATTCCCTCATGTTCTGTTCCAGTACTCCGCGCTGGTTGTACTGCTGTTACTACTGGAATGTGCACTACTATATTACTTTTCAAGCAATTTGGTGGAAGTAAGTGAAAAATATCTTACCTAATCATCATAATACAAAGAGCCATCAGACCATCTGACTGCCTCGTTGGCCGAGTGGTCGCAAGGGGTCTCGGGTTTGATTCCCGGGTCGGGCAAAATATTACTGAGTTTTTAAAACATTCTCAGTAGTAGCTCGGAGTCTGGAATTATGCGCGGTATATGGCAATAGGCTCACCCCTATTATATAGGACTCATAAAACAAATAGTCAAAACTGGGTGTTACATTGTACAGTGGCATAATGTGCACCTCTGCCTACCTCTTCGGGGATAAGAGGCGTGATGTTATGTATGTTCCATTAGACCAGGACGTATGGGGCCCAATAGGGCTGATGCCGATACGGAGCCGCGGAGGACTTAACGGGTTACCGGGGCTCCGGCTTGAAGGGTAGGAGTAGGAACGGAGTGGTTTTTAGTCAGTAAGAGTCTGACACTCCCTCCTGCCTCGCCCAGTCGGGAGCAGTCATTCGACAATATTCCCCCCTTAAAGTGATGTTACGTTATAAAACGACTTTTGGTTAATTTTTACAGAAAGGACTATACAAAGATGATGGACTGTGGACTCACGCCATGCGACTCGCATTCAGATGCTGTGAACACAAGTATGCCTGTCCTCATTTATATACTACTAGCTTTTACCCGCGGCTTCGCTCGCGTCACAAAAGGATAAAAAGTAGTCTATGTGACATAATATACCAATACACACAGCGCCATCTATACCAATACTTTTGTTTTCCCTCGGGAATATCAATTTTTTCCGGGTTATAAAGTACCCTATTATATAATCCGGACTTCTAACTTTACGTCTGCAAAAATTCAAAGCAATCGGTTTAGTAGTTACGGCGTGAAAGTGGAACAAACAAACAAACTCACTTTCCCATTTATAATATTAGTAAGGATACTTCATTCAGTTTGTCTTCTCAGAGAAAACAAAATCAAAGTCAAAGCATTTATTTCAATTAAACTATAATTTGGTACTTTTTAAACGTCAACAAATACAAAAAAAAATAACAGTCTATCAGTCAGTGAAGCTAGCTTCGAACATGTAGATTCGAGTGGAGAAGAACGAGCAAGAAACTCCATACGTTACTCTTTCAAAAAACTATCTCTCTGATATAAATCAAATACGTGACTATGTGACTTATTTTTAACCGACTTCAAAAAAAGGAGGAGGTTCTCAATTCGACCGTATATATGCTTTTTTTCATATTAACTGTTTATTTATTACACACACAAGTTAACATTACAGGTTTAGGACCCAATGCGATAACAAGGTATTCTTAAATCTAGCGACTACTTACACCATATTAAACTTATACTAACTAATAAAGTAATCCAAACTATTACAGAGATAAAGAGAAAAACAAACCCTGTATTAAACTTAGTAAAATAAAGACAAATAAATAGCATTATTATTGTCTATCTATAACATCTATATATATATATAAAAGAAAGTCGTGTTAGTTACACCACTTATAACTCAATAACGGCAGAATAGATTTGGCTGAAAATTGGTAGGGAGGTAGCTTAGAGCCAGGAGACCGACATAGGATACTTTTTAACCAATTTTTTTTTTTTACTTTTTACTGAAAATCACGAACGGGGACGGGAAAAAATAGGATTACGCGTACGAAGTCGCGGGCAGAAGCTAGTAAATTATATAATAGAATCTTTGTGAATTCACTCGACTGACAGGTAAAAACATCTATTTGCTCGTGCACAACATTTATAATTATTACGGATATCTTGCGTAACCGCGGCTTTCGCCTAATTATTACTGTTTCCATAGCACTTCAATACCAGAAACAAGGAAGCCTCCATGGTCATGTTGCGGCCCAGACTTGTACCCAGACAACTGTACCACTGCACTCATGTTCCAGAAGGTAAGACCAATATTCCATTTGAATCACCCAACATACCACCCACTTCAACCCAATTAAGTGACATGCAAGTCACCCACTCTTACCCATCCTAGTAAAAAGTCACTTTTACCCATCCTAGTCATAAGTCACTTTTACCCATCCTAGTCATAAATCACTTTTACCCATCGTAGGCATAAGATAAAAAGTAGTTCATGCAGATATTGAGTCTCTGTCCAGTAACACACGTGCGCTGGTATCGTCATGAGCTAATGTTGACATGTAAACAGTGACTCGTGTAGTGTAGAGATTGTCTCGACAACTGATGGTAGCAAGGTTCACTGGCCAGTGACACACGTACGCTGGTATCGTCATGAGCTAATGTTAACATGTAAACAATGACTCGTGTAGTGTAGAGATTGTCCAGTCAACTGATGGTAGCGAGGTTCACTGTCCAGTGACACACGTACGCTGGTATCGTCATGAACTAATGTTGACATGTAAACAGTGACTAGTGTAGTGTAGAGATTGTCCAGTCAAATGGTAGTAGCGAGGTTCACTGGCCAGTGACACACGTACGCTGGCCTCGTCATGAGCTAATGTTGACATGTAAACAGTGACTCGTGAAGTGTAGAGATTGTCCAGTCAACTGATGGTAGCAAGGTTCACTGGCCAGTGACACACGTACGCTGGTATCGTCATGAGCTAATGTTAACATGTAAACAATGACTCGTGTAGTGTAGAGATTGTCCAGTCAACTGATGGTAGCGAGGTTCACTGTCCAGTGACACACGTACGCTGGTATCGTCATGAGCTAATGTTAACATGTAAACAGTGACTCGTGTAGTGTAGATGTCCAGTCGACTGATGGTAGCGAGGTTCACTGTCCAGTGACACACGTACGCTGGTATCGTCATGAGCTAATGTTGACATGTAAACAGTGACTCGTGTAGTGTAGAGATTGTCCAGTCAAATGGTAGTAGCGAGGTTCACTGGCCAGTGACACACGTACGCTGGCCTCGTCATGAGCTAATGTTGACATGTAAACAGTGACTCGTGAAGTGTAGAGATTGTCCAGTCAACTGATGGTAGCGAGGTTCACTGTCCAGTGACACGTACGCTGGTATCGTCATGAGCTAATGTTGACATGTAAACAGTGACTCGTGTAGTGTAGAGATTGTCCAGTCAACTGATGGTAGCGAGGTTCACTGTCCAGTGACACACATAAGCTCTGGTATCGTTTTGAGCTTACGTCTATGTTTCAGGATTGTCACGCTTCAATAGTGAACTGGTTGGACCGATACCAGTTGCCGGTATACACGTCTCTGGCAGTATTTCACGTTGCAATGGCGACCTGTGCAATCATACGACGATCGAGTTCTACATCTCAATCTCATAGCTAGCGGTCGCAACGGCGCGTTAGCGGTGAGTTCACTTTTTCATTAATTATTTTGGAGGTAGTGGCGGGCTTGTCCCTTAAAAAAAATCTATCTACATTCTTAATATAAAAATATCAACCGGAGGCCCTAGTGCCAATCTCTCCAAGCCAAGTCCCCAACAATCCTCAAATTCCTAATCCCCAAAAGGCCAGAAACACACTTGTAACACCTCTGGTGTTTCGGGTGTCCTTAAGTGGCGCTGATCGCTTACCATCTGGTGACACGTCTGCTCGTTTACCGTAAAATAAATCTCATGCCTGCTTTTTTACAGCGTCACCACAGCCAGAACCGTCAGAGGTTCCGAGGATACGACCTGGATGGAGTACCCGCGTGGCCCCGACAGTGGAGCCATCTAACGAAGACGTTATAATGCTAGTCGTTGGCAGAGCCAGGCTCGGCTGGGTAGATAAATAACTTTAGTGACTATGCTGGGTAGAAACTTGTGACTAGTCTGGGTAGAATAGCAAAGTTTGTGACTAGCCTGGGTACTGAAGAGACATGTGACTGTTCTGGATAAAAAATGTGTCTAATGTTTTATATTAATCTACTATTATATTAATTTTTATCTTTTAGTTAGAGTGTATCTTAAGTTATTTAACCTATCCTTATTTACTTTTTATTTATTTATTTCTAAATAAAACATTGCCACACACTATGATTTCCTCCTGTGTCGTTTACAAACATACAAGTTCACATACACATTAACTATTTTAACTATTTATTTACTTACTTACTTAAATTTACCATTACAGGATGACCCAATGCGATAAATGCGAACTATTTAATCCTGACTTATTTATTTTATTTATTTATTTTATTTTATTTTATTTACATCGGAAAACATACAGTATTAACAGCTAACAAAAACACAATTTACGCAACTAATAACCAATTACATGTTTTCGCATTTAGTTATCTATGAAGAACACGCTTGAAAGAGAAAAAATTAATAAAGAGGTAATTAGGAATTATGGCAAATACAATAATATTAATTCTTGCAGTGCTAAGTGGAACAGCTATCGAACCAATGTTTTGTAAGTAATCGATTGAATACATGAGGCTTAGTAACGAACAAGTCCAGTTCAGAAAAGTCGACCAGATTATTGTAGGACTTTGCGCATCTTATAAAGAATGAGTTCTGTCTGTAATTAGTGTGACAACGGGGAATGTTTAGAAGAAGGAAGGGTGTTCTAGAAGATCTAGTGGGAGCGTGTAAATTAATCTTGGACAGAAGTTCCGGGGTGTCGATATAAGATTGTGGCAACTTGACGAGGAAAGAGATATTTGATATATTCCTCCTTTCCTTAAGTGGCAGTAAGTGGTACCTTTTGCATCTCAAATCATAATTATGGTCGCGGGTTTTACACTTATATTGCAGGTATCGCGTAAAGTTTCGTTGAATAGATTCCAGTCTTGAGATACAGATGTCATACATGGGATTCCAAACCTGCGAACAGTACTCAAGTGAGCTACGGACAAAAGAACAGTATAAGATTTTAATTATTTTGATATTTGTAAACTGGGAACAAGACCTTTTTAAGAACCCCATGGCTTTGTTAGCTTTATTTACTATGTAATCTACGTGCCTCTCATAGGTAAGTTTGGAATCATGTATCACACCCAAGTCTCGTATGTAATCTACTCGTTTCAGCTGGTCATTCTTTAAAATATATGTATGGGATATGATGTTGGCTTTGCGAGTTAATGTAATTGCGTAACATTTTGACACATTGAGTTCCAGATTATTTAACTGACAATACTTTTCAAGCCTATCGAGATCATGTTGCAAACAGTAGCAGTCTCCGAGATTGTTTATGCGTTTGAAGATCTTCATATCGTCTGCGTAAAGTAGGAATAACGAATTTTGAAAGCACGTGTGAATATCGTTTATGAAGATATTAAATAGTAAGGGCCCAAGCAGCGATCCTGGGGCACTCCTGAAGGGACTACATACCGCTTTGACGCAACACCATTAACTACAACAGCCTGGGAACGATTCCTTATGTAAGATGTTATCCACCGGTATAGATTACCATGAATACCTGCATGAAAAATTTTTTGCAAAAGGATAGTATGGTCAATACGGTCAAAACATTTACTATAGTCAGTAAAAATACAATCTACCTGCCCTCCATCGTCCATACTCGTTGTAGCGAAGTCGATAAAGGACAGCAGGTTGGTAGTGGTCGAACGATTTTTAAGAAATCCGTGTTGTTGGGGAATAAATGTTGAAGAAAAAGTGCTGTAAACCTGCGTGTAGATAATGCGTTCAAGTATTTTACCAAACAGGCATAATTTAGATATGGGTCTGTAATTATTGATGCTACTCTTATTCCCACTTTTGTGTACAGGTGTTATGTACGCGTACTTCCATATACTGGGGACAATTCCTTCCGTAACAGAACGCTTGAAAATAATCGTTAGAGGCTTAACTAATCCTTTGGCACACTTGACAATAAATAGTGGCGGTATGTTATCGGGACCCGCGCCTTTATTGAGATCCAAAGATTCTAAAAGCCTAAGCAGGTGGTTTGAATTTATTTCAATCTCGCCTATGCTTAGTGCAGAGTCAGTGGGAACATTATTGCTTATAACTAATTACAAACAAAGCATTCCTTGTGAATTCACTCAGAGAACAGTAAAATAAATCCGTCTCACTCGCTATGAGGTTGAGCGTGCGGAGCGTACGCGTCAGCGGCGCCTCCTTTAGAAGCTCAGTCCGAGAAGTCACATAACACCCAGACCCGGAACAACAATTTGTGGATCACACAAAGAGATGTTCCGTGCAGGAATCGAACGCGCGACACATTGCGCGGCAGACAGTGGCCCAGCCACCGCGCCAACAGTGCAGTCCTTATATTGTTAATATATCTCGTTTTAATAAAAGTACCAAGTTAAGCTTCATTATGTTGTTTTAAAGTTTATGAGGCAGATTAATAATGTTTACTATTACGTGTTAACTAATTATTCTACCTGTTTTAATAGAATACTTCATTATTAATTATAGTGTATGTGTCTAAAAATAATCTACAAGACGGACATTAAAATAAAATTTAGGAAACTACCCTATTGTGTACATATTTAGCATAAGTATGTATAAGAACAGGTATCTAATGCTCAATAAAAATATTTTAACCTACATTTTGAAGATTTTATTTTTTGATAAATAAACACGACAACAGAATTATAGAATTCGGTGCACTCAACCAATAAGATGAAAATCACAATAATACATTAAAATTCTTTGCCCAAGTCGAAATCGAACCTTGCTTGACTACCATGCTATCGATTTCTGAGGGCCAAGTACGAAAAACTATCGCATTCGTAACGTAATAGTATCGAGCGCGTACGACGCTCTGATTGGCCGGCTCAAGTGAACCAACCAATCAGAGTGCCAAGCACGAATAACTATCGCTTTCGTAACGTAATAGTATCGAGCGCGTACGACGCTCTGATTGGCCGGCTCAAGTGAACCAACCAATCAGAACGCTTAACTCGCTCGATACTGTTACGATACGAGTAGCAATAAATACAATAGTTTCAGTTTTCTACCGGATACATTTCGATGAATGTGTAGGTGAATTGCACAACTTGATTCCTCCTAGTCCTTTCCATCATCGTACCACAAGACAATCGGCGAAGCGTCACCGATTCATGGTAGATGTCCCACCCACACGCACGAAGCGCTTCGCATCAAGCTTCCTTGTGCGTACTGCTAAGGAGTGGGATTCTTTGCCAGAGTCTGTGTTTCCTGAAGGGTATAATCTGGGTATCTTCAAGGCCCGAGTGAATAGGTTGCTTATGGGTCGACGTGCTCCATCGTAGGCCGCATCATCGCTTACCACCAGGCGAGATAGTGGTCAAACGTCAGTCCCATCAAATACAAAAAAAAATAACATAAAATAAACCTTAAAAAAAAGAGCGTAGTTATTACTTTTTAAAAGGCCGGCAACGCACCTGTGACTCCTCTGGTGTTCCAGGTGTCCATGGGCGGCGCTGATCGCTTACCATCAGGTGATCCGTCTGCTCGTTTGCCTCCTATTCCATAAAAAAATGACAACAAATATTTAACATAATATCACGCCTTTTATCCCTGAAGGGATAGACAGAGATGCAATGCACATTACGGCACTTAATGCCACTGTACAATGTAACACTCACTTTTCATTATTTATGCTTTGAGTCCCATGTAATAGGGGGTGAGTCTATTGCCATATACCGGGCACAATTGCAGACTCCGTGCTACTACTGAGAATATTTAAAAACCCAATAATACTTTGCCCGACCCGGGAATTAAACCCGAGACCCCTTGCCTGGCAATCACACTTGCGACCACTCGGCCACTGAAAAGTGGGTGTTACATTGTACAGTGGCATAAGTGCCGTAATGAACAACACCTCTGCCTACCTTGCCCGGCAGTCGTACTTACGACCACTCGGCCAGAGAGGCAGTCAATTATAACAAAAATATCCATATACAATAATACACAGTATATTATAATGAAGCAGTACAACTATCGATTACATTTTGACCCAATTCGTAACACAACACAATCGCGTGTCATATAACTGCACTATTGAAACTGGGACACGTGGGGTGACTGGAACTTATACCAACTCGTCAAAGTTTTGTAATTAGCCCGGAGTTTAGTGATAGCGAATAGGGCCACGAACAAAAACCTTTTTGTTTTGTAGATTATTTTTCTGAAACAATTGCTTTAAAAAAAAATTTTTTATGGCTTAAGCCGGTAAACGAGCAGACGGATCACCTGATGGTAAGCAATCGGCGTCGCCCATGGACACCTGGAACACCAGAGGCGTTACAAGTGCATTACCATCATTTTGAGGATTAGGAGTTTGAGGATCGTTGGGGATTCAGGAATTGGAGAGATTGGGGAAGGGGAGGGTAATTGGACCTCCGGTAACCTCACTCACACGACGAAACACAACGCAAGCGTTGCTTCACGTCGGTTTTCTGCTCGGCCGTGGTATCACTCCGGTCAAGCCGGCCCATTCGTGCCGAAGCATGGCTCTCCCACACTTTAATGTAGCCCTAATTTCACACATATTTATTTAATGTATTTTATGATTTAACTACAAAGCAGGAACGTTAAATACGCGTATCGTTTTTGACGAGTCTAGTTAAAATTTACACAACTTAGATTTGTTTATTTCATCAACTTCAATCGTACTTTCTAAGATTATTTAGACACCACTGACAAACGGTGAAGGAAAACATCGTGAACCTGGACCTTTTTTCTAATGGGGTAGTTTCCTAAATTTTATTTTAATGTCCGTCTGGTACATTAATTTGAAACTTTAGACACGTATTTTTTCTTTTCTCACAAAATTAAATACCTTCGGCGATATATTAATTTGAAACATCGTGTGACGTCACAGCGTGCCACATTTTGTAGCACGTTATGACGTAACGACCTCCCACTCCTAAACTTAGTGCCATTTTATCTAAGTATGGCAACTTAATACGAGAAAATCAAAAATACGTGTCTAATGTTTTTTCATTAGCTAACTGACGGACTAATTAGATTTTTTAATTTTGTTACCCTGGAAACTACCCAATTATACCTAAGTTTGAAATTGCCAACCCGCAATAAGCAAGCGTGGTGATTAATGCTCAAACCTTCTCCGTGTGAGAAGAGGCCTTTGGTCAGCAGTGGACACTTATAGACTGTTGATGTCATCGGGATCTCTTCCTACCTTATTATCAAGAGTAAATTAAAGAACATTTTAGTTATAATATGAATATGAGCCCGGTTTGCTGTCATACTTCTTTTGATCTTCCATCAAAATGGCGGTCAGATACTGGATGCGGAGTGTTTCATGTGACACTGCAGCCTCTTTAACCTGGAAAATAAAATAACTTTTACCGTCGTTGATTCGATATGATGTTTAATTGTAAAACACTGTAAAACTGTTCATCAAATATTGTTATGTTGCAGAATTGATCAAGTACTTTGGTTATAAAAAAATAAAAATGAGTCGTGCTTTTAGAATGATTGAAAAAATGTATCTATGTATAAGAATACTAGCTTTCACCCGCGGCTTCGCTCGCGTCACAAAACGATAAAAAGTAGCTTATGTGACATATATCAATACACACAGCGCCATCTATACCAATACTTTTGTTTTCCCTCGGGAATATCAAATTTTTCTAGGATAAAAAGTATCCTATTATTTAATCCAGACTTCTAACTTTACGTCTGCAAAAATTCAAAGCAATTGGTTTAGTAATTACGGCGTGAAAGCGGAACAAACAAACAAACTCACTTTCCGATTTATAATATTAGTAAGGATAAACTATCCAAGTTCAATGACATACACACATACAGCAGAATTATATATATAAAGAAGATGAAACCCGTTTCCCGTTGTCACGCCATAACTTGAGAACGGCTAGACCGATTTGGCTGATTTGTTTGTTGTGTTTGTTATTGTCAGGAGAAGGTTCTTATGATAGAAAAAAATCCTGAAAATCTTATGGGAACGGAAGAAAACGGCATTGCGCGTACGAGGTCGCGGGCAGAAGCTAGTCTGTAAATAAAATCGAATCATAAGCTTTTCCTCGAAATAATAGAACTCTTTTTAAGTGTGGGAGAGCCATGCTTCGGCACGAATGTGCCGGCTCGACCAGAGTGATACCACGGCCTCACAGAAAACTGACGTGAAGCAACGCTTGCGTTGTGTTTCGTCGTGTGAGTGAGGTTACCGGAGGCCCAATTACCCTCCTCTTTCCCAATATCCCCAATCCCTGAATCCCCAACGATCCTCAAACTCCTAATCCCCAAAAAGCCGGTAACGCACTTGTAACGATTCTAGTGTTCCAGGTGTCCATGGGCGACGCCGATTGCTTACCATCAGGTGATCCGTCTGCTCGTTTATCGGCTTATGCCATAAAAAAAAACTCTCTGGAAGTCGACTTACTGCCACTGTTGTAGTCTTAGTCTTATTGTTATCTTGAGCACCATAAATATGTGTAAACAGCTTCGCTACTATGATGTACAGGATCTCTACAAAGCTGATGAAGCTAGCGCCAAGGAACAAACCGGCTGCTCCTCCAAAAGATACTGTGAAGTCATAAAAATATAGCATTATGACATAACATCACCTTTTATCCCCGAAAGGGTAGGCGGAGGTGTTCATTACGGCAAGTAATGTCACTGTAGAGGTATAATGTAACACCCATTTTTCAGTGGCCGAGTGGTCGCAAGTGTGACTGCCAGGCAAGGGGTCTCGGATTCGATTCCCGGGTCGGGCAAAGTATTACTGAGTTTTTTTTATAAAATCTCAGTAATAGCACGGAGTCTAAAATTGCGCCCGATATATGGCAATAGGCTCACCCCCAATTACATGGGACTCATAACATAAATAGTGGAAAGTGGGTGTTACATTGTTCAGTGGTATAATGTGCACCTCTGCCTACCATTTCGGCAATAAAAGGCGTGATGTTATGCAATGTATTAGGTCCCATTTGGGCGCGACTAATTATTTAGTGAATTGATTTTTTTATTTGTAAATTTGTAATGATCGTACTTAGCCTTCCTGGTCAAGAAATAAATCATCAATTTCAGTAAAATGGCATTTTATTTTATTGTAGGTAATGTAAATTGTTCAAACGATGCTTAATCTTAAGCCATACCGAAGCTCATAATATTGTTAACGATCTGTATTTAAAATTGTGTGTCGTGTTAGCCTGGAGTTCGAAACCTACCAACGGCAAGTACCAATGTGACATTTTCCAAATTATATGTACTTTCTAGGATTATTTAGACACCACTGACAAACATATTCATGAATAAACTTGCCAACGAGATCTTGGAAGTGGAACACGATCTCCCTGGTGTACCTGGTCTGAGGAGCTTGCACGGAGTACTTTATGGAGCCGTGCAGGTTGAATGGAGGGTTACGCCTGTAAATGAGACCTTATGTGATGAGTATATAGGGCATAGTTCTGCTTGTTTTGTTACTCTTCGGAATTATGACAATAACAATTGTCGGTAGGTAGTTACAAAATACTTTGATTTAATTTATTTAACGTAGCTGATGCCCGCGACTTCGTCTACGTAGAATATGATTCCTGTTTTAACCTATGGGAGAATTTAATCGGGATAAAATATCTTATCGGAGGCCCAATTACCCCCGTCCCTAGTCCCCGTCTCCCGAATCCCTGAATCCTCCACAATCCTTAAATTCCCAATTCTCAAAAGGCCGGTAACGCACTTGTAACGCCTAGGTGTTTCGAGTGCCCATGGGCGGTGCCGATTGCTTACCATCAAGGTGATACGTCTGCTCGATTACCGGCTTGTGCTATAAAAAAAATCACCTAAGTTAGCCCATACCCTGCCCGTATACCAAATTTCATCAAATCTGTTCAGCGTGATTGACGGACATACATCCAAACAAAGAAACTCTCACGCACTCACGTTCGTTTCATGTTTCAGTCCAAATGGGCCAGCTCAACCGGAGTGATACCATGGCCTCACAGAAAACCGACGTGAAAAAACGCTTGCGTTGTGTTTCGTCGTGTGAGTGAGGTTTACCGTAGGCCCAATTGCGGGTGTCATTGGGCTGCCGTGATCGCTTACCATTAAGTAATCCGTCTGCTCGTTTGCCTCCTATTCCATAGAAAAAAAACTAGTGGAAAATATAGTAACTTACCAGATCTGATCTTCAACAGTCATCTCCTTATAATTGCAGTCCATGCACTGAGGGACGCAGGAACATTTCTTGTCGTTGTTCCTCAACAGTTTGTGGGCATTGTTGGCTAAACACCACATGCCTTTTGGCGTGCAGGGTGGACCATCTGGAGTGTGAAGAAGACCATAAGACCTCTGCCTCCAGCAGGGCGGCGGTGGCGCGGGAGTAGCAGGATCTTTTACGTAAAATCAAATGGACTGATTTTCAAAACCAGCGGCGCGGGGGCGTGCAACCAGCGGTGCACTCCAGTCCGCCACTGCCGCTTCCTTAAGGCCAGAACCGTAATTCTTAAGGAAAACTAGAAATCTCTCCAATCCCTGAATCCCCAACGAGCCTCAAACCCATATTCCCTAAAAGGCCGGTAACGCACTTGTAACGCCTCTGGTGTTCCAGATTTCCGTGGGCGACGTTCATTGCTTACCATCAGGTGATCCGCCTGATCGTTTATTTACCGGCTTATACCATAAAAAACAAAAGACTATTACTTTAATTACCATCGTAAAAGTAGTAGAAAGGAACACAGTTACATAATTCTTTAGCCAGGTTACTCCTGCATGCGAGTCGACATGTGTTTGTACTGTGAACCTGTAAAACAAAATAATATTACATAAACCTTCTGCTCAGTAGTGGTCGATGATAATAAGCTTAGAAACGATATTTCCTTATAGGACGCAAGAGATCGCCAGAACATAACATGACTTAGCATCACGCCTTTTATCCCCGAAGGGTTACAGAGGTGTACATTACGACACTGAATGCCACTGTAAAATGTAACACCCACTTTTCACTATTTATGTTATAAGTCCCATGTTATAGGGGGTGAGCCTATTGCCATATACCAGGCACAATTCCAGACTCCGTGCTACTGCTGAGATTTATTTTAAAACCCAGTAATACTTTGCTCGACCCGGGAAACATGTTCCCGTGTATTGACATTCCTCTTATATTCTAATTAATCAGTCAAGTAATTAGATATTTTTTTTTGTTGGGACAAGCCCGCCACAACCTCCCATAACCGCTGCAACTCCTGTAAGCCAGGATCTACAGTAGATACAACAATGGAAACACCGGAATACTGAAGTCCAGCGCGTCCCAGGGACATGAACAACTCTCTCATGGTTCTCGCAACGAAGTGAATCATAAGATATTATAAGAGGAGAAGAAGAAAAACGATAGTTTCCACTTCCCTCGCTGAATTACTGCAGGAGACAGAATGAATTAAGCCTAAAGGCACAAAAAAGAAACTGTACTACTAGGTGAAGCCCAGTCGCCAAGCACCACGGAAATTTGACTAAAAATTAAGTGACATTCGTCTTGTGGGAGCTACTACAGGCTCGCACAAGAACAATTAATATAATAATAAAAAGAGAAATAATGTAATAATATAACATAACAAAATCTAATTACGATAGAAATCACATAATATCGTACTACTATAAGAAATGAACGATCTACCTTGCGCCCACTCAATCTCGGCTCATCCATATAGGAGCATCCTCGTCGGGAGGGACTCAGATCCTTGACTCCCCTTCCACATCTAGACTCCATGACACTCAGCTCCGTAGTTCGTACCAACGTCAGTATGATGTCTGTCCAGCCCACCGATAGATCCATGACGTCGTATGGGGAGTGGACGTAGAACTAGGGATATAAAAAAAAACAATCAGCCGAATATAGCACCTCCTCCTTTTTTTGAAGTCGGTAAAAATAGACATTATCTTAAGACAAACGGTGAAGGAAAACATCGTGAGGAAACCTGGGCTTATAATTTGTAATTATAAGTTTGAAATCGCCAACCCGCATTGAGCAAGCGTGGTGATTAATGCTTAAACCTTCTCCGTGTGAGAAGACTTTGGTCAGCAGTGGCCACTTCTATTGATTGCATAACATAACATAACATAACATCACGCTTTTTATCCCCGAAAGGGTAGGCAGAGGTGCACATTATACCACTGTACAATGTAACACCCACTTTTCACTATTTATGTTATGAGTCCCATGTAATAGGGGGTGAGCCTATTGCCATATACCGGGCACAATTCCAGACTCCGTGCTACTATTGAGAATTTTTTAAAAACTCAGTAATACTTTGCCCGACCCGGGAATCGAACCCGAGACCCCCTGCCCGGCAGTCGCACTCGCGACCAGTCGGCCAACGAGACAGTCTATTCTATTGATTTGATGTGAATTATCATCACTATGACAGAGTAGAATCCACCAACGCTACTCCTTCCGCGGGTGTGGTATACCCTACTAAATTACTACATATAAGACAATCGGCAAAGCACCACCGCTTCATGGTGAATATCTCACCCACACGCACGAAGCGCTTCGCATCAAGTTTCCTTGTGCGTACTGCTAAGGAGTGGAATTCTTTGCCAGAATCTGTATTTCCTGAAGGGTATATATAACCTGGGAGTCTTCAAGGCCCGAGTGAATAGGTTGCTTGTGGGACGACGTGCTCCATCGTAGACCGCATCATCGCGTACCACCAGGCGAGATAGTGGTCAAACGTCGACTCATAAAGATAATAAATAATGTTTAGCTTTCCTTAGTCGTGCAGGGTTCAAAAGATGCATTCTGCTTACCCTCCCGTTGGCAGGGATGTCCGTGATGATGAAGCAGCTTAGAGAAGCGTAGGTACAGCTACCAGGCCAACCTGCGGTGGCGTTTGGCTTCAGGGGGCTGGAATAGTACATTGGTAATGCAATAGTACATTTTGCAGTAAAAGTGTGCTCGATAATCAAGAGTAACAGTGTTGTTCATTTTTTTTGCATTGACCAAAGTTAATTATGAACCTATTTAAATACGTCGACGTAACATTAATTTGTTGAGTTTAGAAAAACGCTAACGGTATAGTATATCTACTCTCTTAATTATTGTGACCACTATTTCTTAATTTTGCTATAATTTATTTTATCAAAAACGTCGCTATAAAATTATATTTATCGACTAGCTTCTGCCAGCGGCTTCGCCCGCGATCTCAGGGGTAAAATGCCTATGTATCACTTCAGACCATAATCTACCTCTGTTCCGAATTTCATTCCGGTCCCTTCAGTGGTTTTAATATGACTGAGTAACAAACATACACATAAACTCACATATTTTCATTTATAATATCGAGTCAAGCTAATTTCAACCATTGGCCTTTGAGTTACAGCGTAATGTCTATGAATGAGTATTGTAAACGTTAGAGTAGACAAATACAATCAGAAATCACCGAATTGCTAAGCTATCGGGAGTTTCACGTGTTATTGTGAGTCAACCATAAAAGATAGACATATGCTGTCGAGGAATATTTTTTATATAATTTTAAGGAGAATATTTCCGTCATATATGATTTCTATGCAGCTTTAACCTATAAGCCTGCACACGCGACGGAAGCCTAAAAAATGGAGTAACTTCTCCCGTTTTCCCAATATTTCCCTTCACTGCTCTGCTATTTTTGATCGTAGCGTAATGAAAAGTATACTATAACCTGCCCAAGAGTATGAAGAATAATTGTGCCAAATTTCGTTAAAATCCATCGAGTAGTTTTTGTTTCCATAACGAACATACAGACAGACAGACAGACAGACAAAAATTTTACTGATTGCATTTTTGGCATCAGTAGCGATCCCTAACCACCCCTTGATAGTTATTTTTTAAATATATTTTATGTACAGAATTGACCTCTCTACAGATTTATTATAAGTATAGATATGTCACATCACAACAACACTCACACAGGGTAAAGAACAACACAAATCAAAGCGCGTGCGTCGTACGAGTGAGAATGAAATATTCAAATTTAGAAGCTGATTCCGTTTATGGCTACTTAATTTGGGTGATTCGATTTGAATATTTAAAAAAGGAACGAAGGAAAGAAGGAAGACGAAAACGTTAATAAATAATTTACTACAACATGACAATTTATATTAGGTACATTAAAAAGTTTATCCTTCAGAAAAATCTACTTCCATCCATAATATCGACCACCGTAAGCGCGGGCCTGCGGACGGCGAGCATGGGTGGCTCCCCGTCCGACCAGAAACAGACCCGAGCGTACGGCGCCGAGCGTTCCGCGCGCGCCTCAAAGAGCCATCAGACCACCACGGATGGGGCCCAACAGGGCTGATGCCGATACGGAGTCGCGGAGAACCTAACGGGTTACCGGAGCTCCGGCTCGAAGTACAGGAGTAGGAACGGGGTGGTTTTTAGTCAGTAAGAGTCTGACACACCCTCCCGCCTCACCCGGGCCACCCACATTTTTACCCATTACAAAAAAAGTTCCTCGTTGGCCGAGTGGTCGCATGTGCGACTGCCGGGCAAGGGGTCTCGGGTTCGATTCCCGGGTCTGACAAAGTACTACTGGGTTTTTCTAAATTCTCAGTAGTAGCACGGAGTCTGGAATTGTGCCCGGTATATGGCAATAGGCTCACCCCCTATTACATGGGACTCATAACATAAATAGTGAAAAGTGGGTGTTACATTGTACAGTGGCATAGTGTACACCTCTGCCTACACCTTCGGGGATAAAAGGCGTGATGTTATGTTATGTTTAAACAAAAGTTGTTTATTCTATCTTACCCGACAGCTACATCAGCGACCGCCAAACAGTTTGTAGTATGACAGACTCCTGCCTCCGTCATCACGGGTATCCACGGGTACGCGACTCCGTCTGAGGACTTCGTCTTGATCAGATTATCTGGCATTATCTGGTGATGATCAGGTACTTTAGTAAATCTTGAAACACATTAACATGAATCACATTAACTTATAAGTGTCCACTGCTGACCAAAGGCCTCTTCTCACACGGAGAAGGTTTTTTTTAAGGGGGGAAAACCACCGAATGACTGCTCCCGCCTGGGTGAGGCGGGAGGGAGTGTCAGACTCTTACTGACTAAAAACCACCCCGTTCCTTCTCCTGCACGTCGAGCCGGAGCTCCGGTTACCCGTTAGGTTCTCCGCGACATACGGAGAAAGTTTGTTTGCCACGCTTGCTCAATGCGGGTCGACGAATTCAAACTTATAATTAGAAATTATAAGCCCAGGTATCCTCACGATGGTTTCCCTTCACCGTTTGCCAGTGGTGTCTAAATAATCTTAGAAAGTACATGTAGCTCGGAATAAGTCACATTGGTACTTGCCGTTGGTAGGTTTCGAACCTGCGCTCTCATGCATGAGAGGCGGGCGTCTTACATACTTCCAGGCCACCAGGACATTCAAATGAACTTATAATATGAACTTAATATCATTCAACTCGATCTGAGTGAATAGGTTGCTTATGGGGACGACGTGCTCCATCGTAGACCGCATCATCGCTTACTACCAGGCGAGATAGTGGTCAAACGTCGACCCATCAAATATATATAAAAAGATCTTAATGTTTTATAATAATTACTATCGTGAGACATACTAAATTAACTAAAAATCGCGGTTTACTCACGTGAATATACTGAGGAAAGCTCTACTAGTTTCGAACGAGGTTCTTCAAGCGTTATATGCAACACTGAGTTTGTGCCGAACCTGGAATCGAACCCACTACCCGCACCGCTGATGAACGGACCGTACGCTAATATCGTCCAACGCGTCGCCGCCAGATTTGGAAGCAAACGCTCGTGGTGTCCGGCAGAGGGCGCGTTGGGCAAGTAACAATACCGATGCGGCGCGCGTCTCAAAGAGCCATCAGACCACCACTGATGAGGCCCAATAGGGTTGATGCCCATTCGGAGTCGCGGAGAACCTAACCGGTTACCGGGGCGTGGTGGTTTTTAGTCAGTAAGAGTCTGACACTCCCTTCTGCCTCACCCAGGCGGGAGCAGTCATTCGATGATTTTCCCTCCATTAAAAAAATGCAACACCGATGCGAGCGCCAACGCTAGCCAGTAGGCTGCGCGCATCGCCGCGACCGCGCACGCTGCTCATGAGGAAGAACCCCTCTGTGGTTCGAAACTAGTAGAGCTTTTCTCAGTATATTCACGTGAGTAACCCGCGATTTTAGTTAAGATCTTAATGTCATAAAACAATGAAATCATATCTTCTACTCACATCAACAGCTACACCAAACATATCGACGCTGGTCTCCATATCACCAAACTCCTGGAAACCCTGGAGGTGGAGGATGTCAGAATTGGCGATGGCTTTCACCAACCTTACATAGGACTGGTACTGGTCATCCGAGGGTTCCACTCCGAAGTACTTCTTAACTACTGCTGGTAGCTTCTTGCTGTCAACTCGATTCTGGATAGAATATTGTATTGTGGGTCATTCTGTACAAATACTTTTTTTTTATGGGATAGGCCGATAAACGAGCAGACAGATCACCTGATGGTAAGCAATCGGCGTCGCCCATGGACACCTGGAACACCAGAGGCGTTACAAGTGTGTTACCGGCCTTTTGGGGATTAGGAGTTTGAGGATGGTTGAGGAGATTGGGAAAGGGGAGGGTAATTGGGCCTCCGGTAACCTCACTCACACGACGAAACACAACACAAACGTTGCTTCACGTTGGTTTTCTGCTCGGCCGTGGTATCACTCCGGTCAAGCTGGCCCATTCGTGCCGAAGCATGGCTCTCCCACACTTTTTATGGTTTAACACAACTAATGAGAATATCTGTCTTATTGAACGAAGTTTTTAAGCATCTCAGCATGGAATGGCTAGATCAATAAGCTACTTACATTAAAACACAAAGTTTGAGCTGGTAAAAAGAAATCCCAGGATCTGAAGTCCTTCTCCAAAGTCACCACCGTGGGGGACTCATTGTACCGCTGCAGTTGACCCAGGGCCACGTCCAGAGCACCCCAAACACATAGGACAGTCACCACAACCCATAAAAGTCTGGAAAACAAACACTCGAACCATCAGCTGCTTTTTTAGGTCGATTTGTAACGAACTATGTAACAAAATCTAAGAATCTGAATTAGACACACTTGTAATTGGGATGATGACAAGGTTTAAAAATTAAAAATCTAATTAGTCCGTAAGTTAGGTAATGAAAAAATATTAGACACGTATTTTTTTATTTTGTCGTATAAGAAAATAATACTTAGATAAAACGAATCAAAGTTTAGGCGTGGGGGCTAAAACGTCATTTCTACGTATAAAATGTACATACATAGAAGTGACGTTATGCGACATTTCAAATCAATATATCGTCGAAAGTATTCGTTTCTGTAAGAAAATAAAAATTACGTGTCTAATGATTAAAAATAATCTACCAGACGAACATTGAAATAAAAATTAGGCACCTACCCTATTGTTGTATCATCGTGAAACTTGGCAATTATATGTAGATTAGATGACAATACAATATTATGGTTCCATCGAGCTGGTCTGATGATGGAATTGGAAGGTGGATGATGAAAACTTGGGCTATTAGCATATATGTCACTGGACAGTGAACCTCGCTACCATCAGTTGACTGGACAATCTCTACACCATACTAGTCACTGTTTACATGTCAACATTAGCTCATGACGATATCAGCGTACGTGTGTCACTGGACAGTGAACCTCGCTACCATCAGTTGACTGGACAATCTCTACACCATACTAGTCACTGTTTACATGTCAACATTAGCTCATGACGATATCAGCGTACGTGTATCACTGGACAGTGCACCTCGCTACCATCTGTTGACTGAACAATCTCTACACTACACGAGTCACTGTTTACATGTCAACATTAGCTCATGACGATACCAGCGTACGTGTGTCACTGGACAGTGAACCTCGCTACCATCAGTTGACTGGACAATCTCTACACTACACGAGTCACTGTTTACATGTCGACATTAGCTCATGACGATACCAGCGTACGTGTGTAACTCGACAGTGAACCTCGCTACCATCAGTTGACTGGACAATCTCTACACTACACGAGTCACTGTTTACATGTCAACATTAGCTCATGACGATACCAACGTGCGTGTGTCACTGGACAGTGAACCTCGCTACCATCAGTTGACTGGACATCTGCACTACACGAGTCACTGTTTACATGTCAACATTAGCTCATGACGATACCAGCGTACGTGTGTCACTGGACAGTGCACCTCGCTACTATTAGTTGACTGGACCATCTCTACACCACCCGAGTCACTGTTTACATGTCAACATTAGCTCATGACGATACCAGCGTACGTGTGTCACTGGACAGTGAACCTCGCTACCATCAGTTGACTGGACAATCTCTACACTACACGACTCACTGTGTACATGTCAACATTAGCTCATGACGATACCAGCGTACGTGTGTCACTGGACAGTGAACCTCGCTACCATCAGTTGACTGGACATGTACACTACACGAGTCACTGTTTACATGTCAACATTAGCTCATGACGATACCAGCGTACGTGTGTCACTGGACAGTGAACCTCGCTACCATCAGTTGACTGGACAATCTCTACACTACACGAGTCACTGTTTACATGTCAACATTAGCTCATGACGATACCAGCGTACGTGTGTCACTGGACAGTGAACCTCGCTACCATCAGTTGACTGGACATCTACACTACACGAGTCCACTGTTTACATGTCAACATTAGCTCATGACGATACCATCGTACGTGTGTCACTGGACAATGAACCTCGCTACCATTAGTTAACCCGTCGAGCGTCTGCGTTCCTTATGATCCAACGGGTGCACACGTGACATTTGGAGCATTTTTTCTTATGATCCACCGGGTGCTCATAAGGACGCTCAAGGGTTAACTGGACAATCTCTGCAATGCATGTGGATCTTACCTCTCGATCCAATGTCTTCTTGGAGCTGCTATATGGATGAAGCCATGCATGCTGGTCTCATTACAGAAATCTCTGCTAAAACTGATTATGGTCTTCATCATTGAAGATATGAATTTGAACATTCTCTTGGGCTGCTTCTCATGGTGTGTTGAGTTTCCAGTATTATTCATCTTTTAACCTGGAATTTTAAGAAATCGTATAAGAGTCAAAGACATACATAGAATACATACAGAATCTTACGCCTATCTCCCATGAGGATTTTTTAAGGGGTGAAAATCATCGAATGACTGCTCCCGCCTGAGTGAGGCGGGAGGGAGTGTCAGACTCTTACTGACTAAAAACCACCCCGTTCCTTCTCCTGCACGTCGAGCCGGAGCCCCGGTTACCCGTTAGGTTCTCCGCGACTCCGAATCGGCATCGGCCCTATTGGGCCCCATCTGTGGTGGTCTGATGCCTTTACGTACGCTAAGAGTTAAAGACTCTTACCTAGGTTGCAACTTTTCTATTTAACTGCAAAACCTCGACAAAGCGTATGAATCGTTATTAATTTTTGTTATTAAAAATATAATAGCTATAATACTAGCTATTACCCGCGACTTCGTCCGCGTAGAATACGAATTTTAGAACATTAGTTTCCTTGTTTCAATTTTCCAAAATAAAAGTAACCTATATTACTCCTTACTACATCAGCTACCTGTCAATAAAAGTCCCGTCAGCGGTCCAGCTATTCCAGAGATTAGCCAGTACAAACAGGCAGGCAAACAAATGATAATAAATGTTATTTCGGTATGTGTATCGTATGTATATTCATATGCATGTAGTAAAAAATGGTTATTTTAATATCACAAATAGTTTGCAGGATACGGCGCGACAGACGCTCGAAGAGTGTACTGCATGGGCAGAGCCGCGTTGTGAACGTATTACAGTACTCGTCGGGAATGATATCTCATTGCCGACCGTAGGGCTATGGTTGACAGTGAGAGTGCATGGGATGGAGTCGCTTCCTTCTGTGAACGTGTCATAGTGGCAAAGGAGGTGGCTGAAAGGGAGAAAGAGGCGTCCACCTCCCTCCCCTTCTGCCGTAGACGTGCCGGTCAACGCTGCGAGGTGGAAGCCGATCTGCGACCTCCATAGGAGAGGGACTCGACTGACAAGGGGAGTCAGTCACCCTTACATATATCTCGGAAAAAGTCACATTGGTACTTGCCGTTGGTAGGTTTCGAACCCGCACCTTCGTGCATGAGAAGCAGGCGTCTTCAACCACCGGGTCACCACGACAAAAACACTACACACCGACATTCCAATTTTATTTATCTGTATAGATAAATAGCTGTAATCAAATTGATGCAGTCTAATTATGTTATTGTAATAATATCATGATTAATAGTGGCAATTATGTTTGTCATGTCGTGACATACCTCTAATTTATAACATAGTTACAAGGAAAATGCATTAGTAAACTTGTTTACTCATAACTTAGGTATAGGTGGGTAGGCAGAGGTGCACATTACGGCACTTAATGCCACTGTACAATGTAACACCCACTTTTCACTATTTATGTTATCAGTCCCATGTAATAGGGGGTGAGCCTATTGCCGTATACCGGGCAGATTTCCAGTCTTCGTGCTAGTTCTGAGATTTATTTTAAAAACCTAGAAGTAATTTGCCTGACTAGGGAATCGAACCCGAGACCCCTAGCCCGGCAGTCACACTTGCGACCACTCAGCAAATGAGGTAGTAAACTTGTTTATTTCAGACTAATTAGACAATATGATGTTTGTGTCATAAATAAAATCCAATATGGCGCCGCACATGATGGTTTAACTTTATATCAACAGATGGCGTCCTAAATTACTACATCGCAGTTTTTTTTAAGGGGGAAAATCATCGAATGACTGCTCCCGCCTGGGTGAGGTGGGACGGAGTGTCAGACTCTTACTGACTAAAAACCACCCCGTTCCTTCTCCTGCACGTCGAGCCGGAGCCCCGGTTACCCGTTAGGTTCTCCGCGACTACATCGCAGTTTACATCAAGTTTACACTCTTGGAACCAATTTCAGTGTCAATGTAATTTCAATCCAATAAAATCTCAATAATTATTCTAATCTCCAAAACTACCTGTCCGATTTTAATAATTCTTTTTGTGTTGGATAGTAAATTTATCGAGGAAGGTTATAGGCTACAAAACATCACGCTGCGGTAAATAGAAGCCGAGTAGAGCGAGTGCAACCGCGCGGAAGTAGCTAGTCATGTAAATCTTATATATACATATATATATACATATATATAAAAGAAAGTCGTGTTAGTTACACCACTTATAACTCAAGAACGGCAGAACAGATTTGGCTGAAAATTGGTAGGGAGGTAGCTTAGAGCCAGGAGACCGACATAAATGACGAAAATCACGAATGGGGACGGGAAAAAATGGGATTACGCGTACGAAGTCGCGGGCAGAAGCTAGTAAGTACTAAAACGAGATTGTGTTCTTAAAGTTTTGTTATATTTTTGTTAAAAAGATAAAGATTTATTTAATAACTCATATTCTATTATTTCTTATTAATAAAAAACGATATGTTATCGTGTAAAATGAATGACCTTCTGACTTATTGTTCTTACTAATATTATTAACTAGCTTCTGCCCGCGACTTCGTACGCGCAATCCCGATATTCCCCGTTCCCGTTCTTGATTTTCGGTAAAAAGTAAAAAAAAGAATTAGGTAAAAAGTATCCTATGTCCGTCTCCTGGTTCTAAGCTACCTCCCCACCAATTTTCATCCAAATCGATTTAGCCATTCTTGAGTTATAAATAGTGTAACTAACACGACTTTCGTTTAATAAGTTTATAGTTAAATATAGTTCATAGTTAATAGGACATATTGTTTATTATCTTATTATCTATAATAATGACATCTTGTTTATTATTTTGACATATTTTGTTCACAAATTGACATAATTTAAACTGTTTGACTTGTGATTTTTAAATTGTGATTTTTATTGTTTTTTTTTTAATTCAATCTTTGACATTTGATTTTGTATTTATTGATTGTAGATTGGTATTATCTGCCTAAAGTAATTGATTTAGTACGCCATATATGGCAAAACATGTAGACTTTGTACTAACCAACCAAAAAAAACACCTTCATTGTAATTACTCATGTTTTACTGAATAAATATATCTGAATATCTGAATCTGAATATCTGAATAGTTTAGGAAACATATTTTAAGTTACTATGTCGAATTAGGTTAAGTTATCTGTAATGGCAAAGTAATTGTAATTGTATTAAATAAATATTAAATACTAGCTGACCCGGCAAACTTCGTACTGCCTAAAAACTTTTTCTCACCTTTTAAACCTTCCCTGGACTTCCACGAACCTATCAAGACCAAAATTAGCCAAATCGGTTCACCCGTTCTCGAGTTTTAGCGAGACTAACGAACAGAAATTCATTTTTATTTATATAGATTCTTTTATATATATAGAATAGAAATCTCGTGTGTTTGTCTGTATATTTGTAACTTATTTACGTCAAAAAGGCTGAAGGGATCGGGATGACATTTGGAAAAGGATACATTATGGTCTAAAATAAGAGACAGGTTACTTATAGATATAGTTACTTATATATTTCCTTATAGATTTATTGCAAAATTAATTAATATTTGTACACCGGTCACGGTAAGCATGTTGATACCAACAATACTGTACATCTATAGTAAACATTCATTTTTGCATGTATTATTGTAACCTACACATGTTTTGGCAAATAAAACTATCTTTATCTTTTACTTCACGGAACGCGGGCGAGGTCGCTGGCAGACGATAGTAATATTTACATCACTCTAATTAAGATCTTTAACAAAACATCACTTAATCTCCGAAAGGGTTATTTTTTTTAAGCGGGGAAAATCATCGAATGACTCCTCCTGCCTGGGTGAGGCGGGAGGGAGTGTCAGACTCTTACTGACTAAAAACCACCCTGTTCCTTCTCCTGCACGTCGAGCCGGAGCCCCGGTAAACCGTTAGGTTCTCCGCGACTCCGAATCGGCATCGGCCCTGTTGGCTGGCTGTTGTTGGCTCTTTGAGGCGCGCACGGATCGTAACGCGCCGTACGCTCGGGTCTGTTTCAGGTCGGACGGGGAGCCACCCATGCTCGCCGTCCGCAGGCCCACGGTGGCCGGAGATCGTCCCGCGATCCCCGACGACGCCCGATGTGTCCTTCGCGACGGCTGGGGCGTGAGGAGGCAGCGCTTTGCTGCTCACGCGTTGGGATAGGCATGGGTGCACTGCACATTACGGCACTTAATGCCACTGTACAATGTAACACCCACTTTTTACAATTTATGTTATGAGTCCCATGTAATAGGGGGTGAGTATATTGCCAGATGCCAGTTTTTTTTAGTAAAAACTTTTTCTGAAAATAAAAACTAGATCTAGATCGATTTATCGTCCCTGAAACCCCTAAATAACAAAAATTCAAGAAAACCGATTAAGTAATTCCCGAGATAAGTATTACGAGAATTACTCGTTTAAAGGTAGTCAAGTGTGGGAGAGCCATGCTTCGGCACGAGTTGGCCGGCTCGACCGGAGTGATACCACGGTCGAGCAGAAAACCGACGTGAAACAACGCTTGCGTCGTCTGAAAGAGGTCACAAGAGGCCACCAATAACCCCCTTCCTCAACCTCCCCAAACCTCAGGGATCTCTAACAATCGCCAAATTGCTAATCTCCAAAAGGCCGGTAACGCACTTGCAACGCCTCTGATGTTCCAGGTGTCTATGAGCGACGCCAATTGCTTACCCACCAGGTGATCCGTCTCCTCGTTTACCACAATCGTATCCCACGTATCCCACAAAAATAATTGATTTTAGACTTCTTTAACTACTGAGAATTGTCGAATACTATCGAACTTTGCCGAAACGAATCCATAACCGGGGCCCCTTGCCCCTTGCTCGTCAGTTATATTCATGGCCGCATTTCAACAATCAGTCAGTTAGGACCGACCCATTTGGTCCTATTAACAATATCCGATCACAAAATGGTGATTCATAAATACTTGAGAATATGCGTTGGTGGCTTTTATAGTCGCCATAGCTATATATCGCGATATATCGACTTATATAGCTCACGTGGAGAGATCCATCCGTCATCGACACGAATGGGTCAGTTCGCACG